CGTACAATATATATTGATTTAATGGAAAAAAGAAACACACAGCATACACTATACACTGAATATGCCAAAGCCTCCAAATTTGTAGTTTGTCATCTCGTACGTAAACCTTTCTGATTCGTATAAAGCATTATTTTAAAAGCTGACAACCGTTAATAATAATGTTCATTTTCAAAATCAATTAGTCAAATTAAATTTATCCGTTGTTTGGAACATGGGATTCTAACGGATGTTTCAGTTCAGCATAGATAATGTAAGTAGTGACTTTCAAGCCTTCACTAGATTTAGATATAGCGTTTTAATGTTGGTCTATCATGAACTATTTATCCTGTCTGATAAGCTCTAGAGCGAACCTATTTTTGCTATAGAAACCATTTCATTGGTTGACAATAGCCCGCTAATTCAAATAACTGGGTACATAATGAATCGTAGTTGAGCTTTAATAGTTGGCACATGATGGCAATGTATTAGATCACCCCACAGTGGCGAGTCGGGTACATGAGAGATTTCATATATAGTTGAATACGCACAAGTTACCGTGGAATCGATCTTTTTTCCATCTGCCAGCAACGATATCGTTACGTATGTATTATCTATAATGCCGACAACGCGATTTCTCGGTAAATAAATACCCTTTTACAATTCCGTCCCTAAACATCGGCACTTTGCAACTTTATTTGTTCATTATATGTTATATTTTCATTACAAAATACGATAGAGAAGAAGGAGACAGCACCTCACCCTTCTCTACAAAAAAAAAAAAACCCTGGACACGATATTTTCACCGAATTCGAAAAATGAGCTTGGTCCAGTACGTATTATCAATCTAGCTGAGATCGCCAGCCGAAGAAGCTCGCAATCGAAATTCATCATTATCGCAACGACCCGAAAGGTTTAATCGAAGCACGATAAACAGGAAGAGTCACTGTAGAAAGATTAATCAATCAATGGTTTACGCAAAGCTAGAGCACATACACTGTTCATATGGAGCGAATATGAATCAAATAGAAAATGTTCGTAAGGGAAAATTTAATTGAAACAAACTTTGAAAGATCACTACCTTGGTTAGATGATCCAACATTTTAGAAACGAAATTCAGTAAAAAATCAGAAAAGATAATATTGTCAGAACTCAGAAAAGGTGCCCAGGACTTTCTATATCTCCAAAATAAAAACAGCAAAAAAAATAACGCAATCTAATTTATTCATGACATACGAAAAAAATATCATGCAATTCCTACAAAGCAACCAAACTTTACCGGATAATCAAAGTATCTGCGAACAATTTAAACTCCATCGGCCATCTTGTAGATAGACACTCGTTTCAAACCTCGTCATGACTGTGATATCAGCCAATATATCGTCATTCATCAAAAGGCTATTCACTCTACTCAGTTATTTATATGGCGGGCTATATCGTAGTGAGACAACGTCCTAAAGGCAATAACAAGCCTAAGCTGTTCTATTAGATATTTCGAATTTGCAACTAGCAAATGTGGTAGAATTCGCCCCTGGGATGATGGGGCAGATTTTATAACTTACAGCATCTTTACGTTCGGGTGTCTACATAGAAATGTTACTGTATGACTCGATGGCATATCTTTTGGACACTTTCAACGTATCTTAACTTACCTATTTTCGCATAAATTTCCTCCTACGCAACTACTCGGGTATAAACGTTGCGCACTATATTTTCAAACAAACACACTATTTGCTCAAAAGCCAGTGTAGTCTGTCACATTTCGAATAATTAAAGGTGGCATTAAATAGTTTTAGCACTTTACGTAGAAAAAATGATTCATACAGAATCGCAGTGCTTCTATACTACTACTATAATACATAAAACAATAATGGTCTACAGCCGACACAAATTGAACACTTATTAAACGATAACGTAACAATCAATTTGATTAAATAATAATAATCAATAATAAAATAATGCAGCAGCAAGTTATAAATAGTTCTGATCCGTAGAATATGAATGATAGATAATTTAGAATACTTTTTTGTAGGTGATAGGAGTAGATAAAAAAAAATGCTTGCATTCGTTCAGTAAGTTAGGTTTGGACGTGGATATATTGATTTCCAAATATTTTTATCTTCGAATATGTTGACCTAAACAAAGAGGACATATTATAGAATTTTTATTTTGCATAAAAAATATCGATTATTTATATCATGCTGAACTGTTCAAATATTTTTTCAAACAAAAAAAATAGAAAATCAATGTGCTTGAAAAACCTAACTGGTAAAAAAAAACAAATGATTTTACTGTTTTAGATATAATCAACAAAAATCTTCAACCGACCAAATTTAAACTTTAAACGTCCGCACCTGCATTCTAAGCACAACAGTCGGAGGCTACAAGGTTGTATCCAAGAATTAACAATGATGAAAAGCATTAAAGATTTCAAGGAAGCCGACGACGGCTAGCCATTGTATCCTAAGGAGTTTGAAGAACAATACCTCTTCACTGGTTCCCGTCATTTAATTCAAACAATAACACACGTTGGCCGCTGAAGTATTCATACTATGTGTTTCTAACATGGATTCTCTGATATAGATTTTCGATATAATAGATTTTCGGGTCTCGGCTAACATATTGACCCGTCAAATTTCTAAAGATTTCATTAAACACTAAAAATTGAACAATGGAAGTTTTTTTTAGGACGCTAGAACAGGGTTTGCTTAATTAGATAATAAGCCAAACCTTTTAAAGACGCCGACCTAAGCTTTCGATCTACGTTTCCGACTGGATCAATTTCGAGTATAGATTTATTTCAGATTCTACTAAATCTTACCTAAAATGCTACTTCAACTTGTATTCAAAAATAGAGTTAGTAACGCCATCGACACACGGCCAGGAGCAAGAGGCTATGAATAAAATGGGCACTGGAGCGCGGTAGAAGGACACTACTTGTAAATCGTTTGAGCTTTCGGAAGTCTATCAATTCAGCTATGAAAATCCTGTTTCATATTGGCCTTCGTGTAAACAGGTGCACTAAGTATAGAAATTGTAATTTCCTCTGTCAACACATAATAGACTCCTTTTCATTCAGCATTAAGAGGCAAATTTGCCTTTTACTAGAGACTCTGTTTAATGACACTATCAAGAACGACGAAAAAGCTTCTTCTTTGATGTTCTATTTCATGATGAGTCGGAAACTAGAGACGATACCGGGCACGACGGAATGGAGTTGATGACGAACTATCTTGAAGATTATGGGAAGGAAAACCTACTGCATATGCTAGAAGGCTATGCAGTTACTGCAAAACGGCCCATGCCTACTTTGTCTCCCTTTACCGCTCACTTCACATTCCTCCACATAGTTTCTAACTCCGTTAATTTCGCCTTTATCTCAACTGCTACCTAGATCCTTTTTCATCATTTTTAGCATGAATTTTCTAGGTCCGCATATCCCTCCGATGCTCAAAAATTGCTCTTTTTTTATAGCTCCTAATCTTCATTACTAACCGCTACGTCAGGGCTCTGAGTATCAACCTCCCATTGCCTTGATCTCTTTCCCAGATTTTCTCAAAAAAATCATCAGCCCGCGAATATTCAATATTTCAGTTGTCAATCATTTTCTTCATGGGTGCAACGTTCTCTATTTCAACAGATCAACGAGATGAACCGTCCTAATCTACGCTCACTTTTTTATCATTTACTTGCTTTTACTACTATTATTATTTTACAGTTCTACTCATTCTTCTGTTAAAGTCGCTAACTTCACTAGTTACTATGTGCCATTGAACGTTAAGTATTTTAGGTATGGACGTGGTAGGTCGATCTACTGGCTGTATTAACGTATGAATAAAGCATATTTTTTATTTGACTCTATTAAGATAGGACATATTTAGGGGCAGAATTGTTCCCAACACGGCTGTGTCCGTTTAGTGATAAATCTCTATGTGGAGTGGCAACAGTCGCTCGAAAATGCAAATTTCTAAATGAGATGCTCCCAAAAATACACGCCGCTGTTCAGACAACATAAACAATTAACACCTGTGATATTAGGGATTGACATTTCAAAATAAATTTTAAATCTTCTGGTTTAATGCAACCAAAATGACCGCATACAGAGGTTAGCCTCTATCGAGACCACTGTTCATACGGAGAACATACTTGTATAACCGACTCTGGTTTATTAATGGCCATGTGTGATCACCAATGTATATGTATTCTGAATAGTTCAGAGGCTACGTTTGTCACTTTTCACGTTTCATTGAACATAACGCAATCACGTTCTAAGGTCACTGGTGATAGATCACGTATCCGGAAGTTTGATATAATGTTATACTTCTCACGGAAACCTAATCCTAGTAACAGCTATTAAGCTAAGTAATTTAAAGGTGTTCACGCGGCTGTGGCTAGTGAAAATGAACGACGCTGATTTATACCGTTGCAGCCTAGAGGCAAGTTATAATATGAACGACGCGAGTGTTCAGTGAATGAGCACGCATTACAACAAACATATTCATAGGCGTATCCATTGTACACATAAACCAATACGCTCACACTATATTTCAATATCACTAAAATTTCCCCAAAAAAGTCGTTGACATAGTGAGAAATTTAGATAAGATGAGAGAATAAATACAAAATAGGCAAAACAAACCGAGGACGCCTATACTGTCATCTTACCATATGACTAATCAATACTAATTATTGTATTAATTAAATATTAACGTATCAGAAGACGTATGGCTTTCGACAGAATCATCCTAAATCGCTACTGAGTGCCTACATTGCACAGCGGTTCTAACGGCTACTTTCTTCTATAAAAACATTATTTCTTCCTGCAGTTTTGTGCCTGTCTACACGAAATCTAAGTGTTAAGTCACTGTTCCGTGGAAATATATCCTCTTTGAAAGACAACAATTTCTGTAAAAAATGCCGAAAAGCTCAGCGGTCATTATTTGAGCGCTTAATGTACTATAAGTCAAATTTTGCGCGCCAAGTCGAACCCCATTTCAAGATGGCGGCGCCCAGGTTTCGTCGCCTTCGTCTCCCTCTACGAGAATATTGAATTGCTTCCTCTCCGTGACGTGATTAGTTAATACAATTGCGTAAGGCTTTTCTAGATACACTGGAGGAACAACCGGTGGGTGAAATAAGACAGGTCTAATGTGTAGTTCATAATTTACGTCGAAATCAACTTATTGTCAACTTGCACTATCCTACCGATAGGGATTCTTTTTTCAAATGGTGGCTGTATCACACAGAACTTGCATCTGGGTCCATATCGAGGATCATTTGCCAGTGACATCGTTTGAACAAGGGGTAGTGGTCTGTGTGGTTGGAGGATTTGGGTGCACATTGACGTGCAGTTCTTATTATGAGTTTTCTGACATTAGACTCGTGTTTTCAGTGTCTTGCAGGTATTTATGGGGCTTTAATAGCGCTTTTCATTTAGTGCGGTTTTAACAAAAAAAAAGGCTGGACGCCACGTTGCAGCGACAGTGTCGCTCCCAGGCTATTTCACTAGAAATCTTGTCCGGCTGTCTATCAAAAATGCTTATCGTATCACTTTTCTCCGCCTGCACCCGAAAGACAATTTACATTCACTGCGAAAAAGCAAAGGCAATGCGGCGTTAAAAACAATTCTTATTGTACTCTTACTAAATAAATGAACGTATTATAAATGAACAGAACATTAGTGCCAAATTACTGCTAATTACGTGACGCTTTCGTCTCGTGGCTATTTTTCAGCTATAAGTGAACGTTCGAATGTTCTTGGTATTCATCTGGATGACAGACAGTCAGCTTCTATAGAAAAACACAAGACAGTGATAGTGTATCACCGCCAGGATTTCCTTTCCACTAACTAATGGACAGTAGGGAACGGCGCATTTCTTTTATTTTCCGTATGCCTGTATGTTCTATGCGCTCCGACAGTATCGATTCCAGTATTTGTATATGTTGGCCATCCGACACCCCCATGGCATCTCTCTTCTTTCACTTACTCTTTCCCGTTCGACCCGAAAATTTGCAAAGTGCCAACAAAATGGGCTGACGGAGCGGATGGACCACAGTTGTAACTCTGTGACTTAGTACCGAGAGTAAGACTGGCCGAAGTTCTTCTACTGTGTGGCGACTACAGGCCCAAGGTTCTCCAAGTGTCGTGCCAACGAAAATCGACTAAATCTTTATCGTTGCGAATTATTGTCAGTCTATACTCTGCACAAGGCTAAGTCGATATTCGGTGAAACTATTTTGTCGGTGTTCTTTGTCTTTCTTTTATTACTAGCATAGTTTTTTTTACATATGCACCATGTTTCTTATTTACAACGTCAGAAGACAGCAGCGTGACACAAAAGATTCCCGTTTTTGTTGAATAGATATCACATATCTGACAGCGAGCTTGTATATGCGTGTACTACTATTCAAATTAAAGGAGCTTTCTGTGTGGCTTGTCCGTGACAGCGGTTTTTATGCAAAGGTGAAATTTGTTATGAGCAGAAAGATCTACAAACATGCTTTTTGTTAAGTCGAACTGGCAAATTTAATGCAGAATTTGTTTGTCCAACTAATAAAATACTACACCTTGTACAATAAAGGTTCCGGTATTGATGCATGCATCGACAATACATCTATTGTAATCTACATATATTATTTGCATAATCTACAAATTTATTTTGGCAACCAGGCATAGTGCACCGATTCTACGTTCACTGAGACCATGCGTCGTGCCCTAAACCGCATTGTGAATATAGCTGGACGTCAATTATTCCCCAGGCGAGAATCGGAGGAACCTTTGCAAGTCGTAGCGACCTCAAGCAAAGGGAATCTGTTTGGGTATGTGTTAACAGTTTCAATCTTATCCTTTACATACTGTCGAGCTCGCAGAATTAGTCAATTAGTTCGCTAATTTTGTTTATTACAATGAAGTTCTGACTATCGCATAAGCTACGGTACCGAGACTAAATGGCAACCAGAACTATCATTGTTTCATAAAATCGATAACGAAGTGTATCTATATTTGATATAAGCCTTAACTATGTTAAAGCGTGCTAGGTACCGTCCGTGTTTTGCTCTGTAAAAATAATATAATATAGCTGTAGATTTTCCTACCCATATCCAGTTGCTTCGAGTTTTACGTCCGGTATCAGTGGTAGGCAGACTCCATCAGATGGCTGGCTCCCAGCATGAAACGAAGTCCCTGGTTCGAACCTAGATCATAACGTGTCGGTAAGATTAGCAGGCAAATAGATTATTACGAGGACAGCCTAAATGAATTCGGATGGCCCCCAGAAAAACAATTGTTCTATGTTTCATTTTTACAGGAACCAATACAAATCGTGCTCGGACTTAATTTCATAGCAAAGTACTGTAGCACATAGACAGACTATATATAGTAAATACCGCAAGCATTTTTTTAATTAAACCTCAGTAAAAAAAAATGCAGGTTCAGGTGAAAGTCTTTCGATGAACCTTTTGAATTCAGGAATTTTTCATAAACACAGACATGGCCAAATTAGTACCAAACTAGCTTACTAGAGTTGAGTACATGTCGTATTATTTATTCTTCCCTTGCTGTTATTTCATGTTAATTAAGCCATCATTAACGATGGCGTGCCTGTTCTCAGCGAACTCGCCTTGAATGAGAATCGAACGAAAAATTGAAAGAGTAGTGATTCAGACCGGTTGCGCACTCGTTAAGCAGCTGAGGCCTGAAGGACTGTCTGTTTTAACCGTATATTCTGAAACAATTGTTAGTGTATATTTTATGAAAAATGTACAATGAATGTTTATACATAGATTTTGTTTTTGCATTCTCCTGGTTTTACTGTGATAACGCAGATCACCTTTTCATCGCACAGCTGGTCGATCCCTAGCCGTTGCAATGTCGACAGCCGTGTCAGCTCCTCCGAGTCCGTTGCGTCCTAACCATGCAGATCTCGACTATTCGCCAGTTGGTAACGAACCCCAGTCGGACATATTTGCTGGCCTTGATCCCACTCAAATCGCATTGATGAATGAGAAGTGTATCCTGGTTGACGAAAATGACCGTGTTACGGGAGCCGCCAGCAAAAAGGATTGTCATCTCATGTCCAATATTCAAAAAGGTACAGTTATTACTATCGTGGTCCACGTCTGTTCCTACGTATATCGCTGTAGTTAAGCATCTTTACGAGAAATTGGAATGGAAATATCAAAATAACGATCTGTGCATCCACATCCGACGGTGTTTTCGCTTGCAGGCCTTCTTCATCGAGCATTCTCTGTCTTCCTTTTTAATTCTTCTGGAGATCTCCTTATCCAGCAAAGGTAATCATCGTACAATACACTAAAATAATTAAATATTTGTATTTTTCGTTACTCAATATTCAGAGATTTACTACATCACTGACAGGATGTATAGAGCGTTTGAATCGAAACCGTGAGGCTTTAAATTCGATTTTGTGCTGAGATCTACTGATTTTCTCAAGTTATTTGAATTGTTAGTATCAGTACCAAGCAGTTACGTTGATACGGCATAAGTGTAAAACTACCTACCAGTAGAGCCTTCGAAATAATCCACAACCGCGCCATAGGTATTCGACTTGCCACGTGAGTATTGATGTTGAGGGGCCGCGCGCAGAAAGATTTAATAAGGCTATCGATAAAATACGTCTTTTACTTTTTTAAAAGGTAGTGATACCGATTTCACATGCTTCGGGATTTTAAAGAACCAATACATTTCTGCTAATTGCAGCTTGTCAGAGAGTATCATCTTTAGATGGTGACATTGCAGTTTCCTTCGTTAATTTTTGGTAAAGGCATTTGGGATATTTCTGTAGTTTATAGTTGTAGTGGCGTTTATTTGATACAGGTCCGATGAGAAAATCACATTTCCTGGGTGCTTTACCAACTCGTGTTGTTCTCATCCACTTGCCACTCCGTCGGAGCTCACCACAAACCCCATTGAAGGGGTAAAGAACGCGGCTCAACGTCGAATGTTTATTGAGCTAGGAATCCCGCCAGAAGAGGTGCAGTTATTTCTCCGTACTATTTAATGATAGTGATTATATGAAAATGACCTAAATAATGTCTCTGTTATATGCAGCATCTTTTAAACGGTGAAGAGATTCAGGCTAAATCAAAATGTCCTTATTGGGAATTGCCGAATTCGGTAAATTGATACGGTTACAGCTTATATTTTGGTTTTACGTACTAAACGATGTCATATGTTGATGTAATCGATGAAAACTACAGAGTCTGTGCAGAGGGAAATATTTTGATATCGTTATAGCTCACATATCGATCGATGTCTTTGTAGCTTCCGCTTGATGACTTTCACTACGTAACGCGCATGAAGTATAAGGCGGAATCGGATAGACAGTGGGGAGAGCACGAAATCGACTACATTTTATTTATGCAGAAGGACATAACAACAATCCAACCAAATCCCAACGAAATAAAATCTACACTATACCTCTCGAGAAAAGACGTCGACATCTTTGTGGGTAAGTCATCTATCTGATGATGCTGTTAATGTAAAACATCTAAAATAAGCATTATTAGATAGTTTTCGGTCCGAACCGGCTAAGCCGTTAAAAATATATTTTTTTTTTAATTATCCCAGGATGTACAGATATACGTACTTCAAGCGACGTGAGCCTGAAAGTAGACCGAGGTCAGTATCTCAGTTAATTACCGAATCCCAACTTGCTGTACTTTCAGACAACTTAGAAAAAAACGGAAACAAGCTTACTCCCTGGTTTCGTCTCATCTTGGCGACTTCGCTAAAGAAGTGGTGGGACAATCTCGACCGGATTCATGAGTTTGACTCGCACGACGTTATAACTAGGCTAAATTAGGAGCCATCGGTCGTTCTATAATCGTCATCTTCTAACAAAAATGATGACAAGACAAACGTGCTTAGCATTTCGCATTTCCCTAGCAAGCTTCGGCACTTTTTGCCGTATTGGAGCGAGGTCATAGACATTTTCTTAACGAAGCCCGTGCAGCGTTATAGATACATAATTTTCTCGTCACTACTAGGCTTTCGTATTATAATTGTGATTGCCTTATATTGTTAGTAAGATGTCAATACATTGTTTACTCTAAACAATAACGAAGTTACTAGCACACATAAATATTTAACTTGCGATTTTCGAAGATGTACTTCTATGCGTAACGACCTCAATTGATGCTGCAGCTGCGGTGAAACGATAAAATTGAACTTTTAATAGTGTGGGGCCATTAGGGAACATTTCGAATTGCAATTCTTTTTCTGTGTCCCCTTGCAACATAAGTGGCAGAACATTGTGATGCAACAAATTGAAGATTATACTTTACACGGTTACTGGGAAGCCAACATATGACTTCCATTTGTAGCAACGTTTTCGCTAGGGTGCAGCATATCCAAACGTCGATTAAAATACTTCATCTGGTTAAAATGCAAAAAAGCATGGGTTTCAACATGGGTTTTTTGCCTTTCAACATACTTGAAACCTCGTTCAGAATAGTTCTGTTATTGGTCAGGCTATCACCGAAATGTCTCAAAAAAGGCCGGTGGCTCGCACGTTTTGCTTATGGAGATAGAATTTGCCCTAAAATGACTTACGCATCACACCTATTGTAGATCCAACACGCGTCCAGATAGGGACATAAACCCGTTTTAGCTTTTGGCTAATGTAGTGCGGTAATGTAAATCGGTGTATTTGTTTGTTATACCATATCTATTCTAAAACTGTGAAATAGGTGTCAATTTTTGTTTTATAGGTGCTATCGTATAAAAAAATAAGTGGGCTATTTTTAACTTAGCAAAAATAGTTTCCCAAGTCCAGCAGATGTTCTCCAATGCTATCTCAATATGTACGTGTCAGTTTTATCCTCCTCCTGATAAGCGCGTGTGTGTCTGGCACGAGATCACTAATACATACGATAATACGTAGTAAGACTCAGTGACTTTCCTCTCTGTATAAATTGCTTGCTATAGGGCTGCGTACGGTCACTGGACACCTAAACAGCTTACTCCCTACGTTCTTTGTCAGGACCTCAGGCGGGTCAGTGCTGACCAGTTCAGCGAGGTTCCCCTCTATTTTACTAGTCAATACAGATACACACGTGCAAGGTCCCCAAAGATTTTTCTAAGCTGATTGAATGATTAATTTGGAGTATCGAAACATCTCAGGACAGCGTAGAAACGCACTTTCAACATCTTGCATGTCGTGTATGTCAAAACTGTCTCACTCACTGTGACTCTCAATACTGTTCAGACTGTATGTAGTTAATGAGAAAGCAGTACAAACAACTAATCAGGTGAGATGAGTAACTCAAGAAACCATTTTTGACTTAGCTAATTACCCCTTTGACTAGTATCGTGGTAACGAGAGGCAAAAGGGAATGAGCGAATATCATCCAATTTATACTGCTGATATCAAACGAAGTCGGAAGTTGGATTCGCTCATTCGGTACTATGATTAGTAATTGTTATTTTGTCTTGATCAGGGATTTTTGAGAATGTGTGTGTATGCTCCAACGTGAATAGATCAAGAATTATTGTTGTGTAATGATTAACAACTAAAGGTCTAGGTAACAATAATTGTTGGAGATATTATAATATTAGTATGATTCATATCCAAGATACTCGCAAACAGGTCGATAAATACGGGCGCGTTTTTGCCTATTGCAGTTACGCAACAAGACACTGAGATCTTTCAACGCTTTGTAATACGAAGGGTGTGCAGTATGTGTACGGCTTGAAATCTGAAGTACATATTCTCGCGGAAAGTGCAGAAAGCAGTTTCAAGCTACATACATGATTTTATATTAGAGATGCGAACACCGTTGTTGAGCCCATTTCGGTAAAGTCTTCCTTTGAAAAAAATTTTTCGTGCGAAGACAAAATCTTCGAATGCGCAAAACAATATCAGCTTAAACCCTACAATGAAGACATACTAGGTAGACTCAAAATAATACACCGGTCCATGAAACGGTAACATTTGAGCTCGAGCTTCGACTAATATTAACAAGAAGTCTTAACTTACTGTCACCGGTGAGGATTAACAAAAAACTGTAGTTCGTTAAGGTATGAAGTGAGCGACTGTTGAGCGTCTCGGCTAATTCCCTCGCCCTAATTTAACAAGATGTTAGCATCCATCCCAGTCCAACACGTTGTTACTATAATGTTGATACTAGGCAATATTACTAAACAAAATGAATATATAGTTTTTACCATTATTATTCTTATCAGTTTTTAGTTAAATGTGTTCAAGCTAAGTTGTCAGCCTTGTGAGAAGAGCCTAGTAATGCACAAACAGTTTCGTCCTAATTTAATCGAAATGAAACCGACCGTTTTTCATTGTTGTTACTAAATAACAGATGTCTAAATTAGGCAGAAATTTAAGCACGTAATGTGAAGCTGTTTAGATTGCATCGTTTCTACTTAATTATAAATATTCGTCTCGTAGTATACATACATTTTGTGGACAAAGAAAATATAAGGGGTATGTCGTGTAACTTTTAAGATTAGATGCAAGGTACAGAGGTAGACATTTGCATTAGTAGTACGTCTACTAGGGCTAAGAACAACATATAGATAGATTAACGAATATAACGAATACTAATTTACCCACCTCGGCTGCTGACTGCATTGTAAGTATACTCTATGTATTCTGTGTGTGTATTTATTTTGTGAGACGAACTTGAATTGAAACAATTCTGTACAACTGTCTGCAAAACATGTGCCATGCCAAGTAGCAAAGGACATGTAGCTCCTCAAGGATGATCATCATCTAGCAATATCGTTCCAACTTATTTTCGTAGCTTCGTATGTCCCACTCAAAAAGTTAACTCTATAAAAAGCGTGAACATTCTCAAAATGTTCACTCTTTTTATACACCTAGGTACAATGTTATTATAAAAAATAACATTGTACTTAGGTGTATAATCTAACTGGCGTTTTTGTTACGTTCCTACATTTATGTTACTGCTCAATGTTAGTGATTACATGTTCAGATAAATGTTGACTTTTTAGTAACAGTAGTCTATAAATATTTTTTGTTTGTTTTGAATAAAGCAAACATTAAAATGTTAAGGTTTAAATCGCGTTTCTTTTTATTCTTCTTAGTTGCTTCTAAGTGAATATTTAGCAAATCTTGTAACTACCATGAATAGCGTACCATTTGAATATACTAACGTATACCGCGGCCACTGTCAAATTCATTTTCTGGTTTTATTCACCTGGACATGACCGACTCGTCTTCAAACATTTTCTTATTCTCAAGATAAAATGCTGCGCATCACAGCAGTGCGCCGACATGGATTGCTAGAAAAGGCCGAATATGAAAATCACGTCCTTCATTTGGATTTTCCTACCACTAATGAGTATCATGATTTGTTACGGTGTATAATGGTTTTATCCAAATTGACAGGACGATGCAAAGTGGTTGTGCAATCAAATAATACGTGTTCGCCGTAGGACAACTGCAAACAAATGTACCATTAAATGAGGTGCCACATCTAATCAGAAAAGCAAGTGGCTAAAAAAAGCGTGGACAACGATCCAGACAGTATTTGCTGGTAGCATTAGCCTTGCAGGATTATAGGTTTAAGAACGGGCCGCCCGAAACTTTTAGGCTGATTCGACTCACTGCAGAAAGAATTAGGATTATAAATTCATATCTTAAAAACGACTGCCAGCGAACATGAAACGTACTTCAATAGATGTACTATAGCTACTCGTTTTTGCAACAAATTTATCATATCTCTAATCTTAAGGTATAGTAATCGCTAAATTAATCATATGAACAAAGTTCCTTATCTTTCTCATAATTAACTTGCATTTCATATACAGGAGTCCGTCTTAAAGAAAAAGCCGTGGTAAGCACGTTCTCACCGGTTTAGCACATCGATATTACAACTGAACTTAGGAAACAAAATTTCTTAGGATCCTTTTGATCATAAACTGTTCCTGCTTTATTGGCTTCGATAGCTCAGTTAGTTACCACTTCGTTGGAACACCTGTTTGTTAAGGATACCTGCAGAGTGAAAGATTAGCGCTAGGGTTGACTCATTGGCAGTGTCGAAGAACTCAGGTTTCAATGCATTTGTTGCCTTTCGGTTGAAGAAAAACGAACTCTCCATTTGGCTGCATCGACAAGCTTCTTCGTTCGTAGGTCTTTTTTAAAAACCTTGTCCTTTTTTAAAAATATTATCAGTGCCGGGATATTTCGCACACAGATATTTATACGCCGAAATTCGCGCATTCAACAGGAACTAGATTAATTCAATCGGTAATATATAATCTCTAGTCACAAGTATAGACAGACACCGGAATACCATGTTACTTCGCTTTATTCATATTTCAACATTTAACAAATCGGCGGCCACTCTCTACGAGGTGTCATCGAGGTAATCGCAGCTTCTCACTTTCTTTGTTCCATTATCCCTTTAGTGGAGCACGAACTTATTCGTTATCGACGGTTGCATACGTTTCATCGTCGATAGTCGTGTATACATGACCTTCGTTAGCCAAGAACTCAACGGCGTCACGCACTTCACGAGACTTAAGGCCGTGAGCAGCCAAGTTCGTAGCAACCTATCGCAAGCAATTAAGAACGGATTTGGACGTAATTGTAGATATTAAATAAGTATCTAAATGATAAAGTTTGTACTTGCTTGCTTTATGTTGCTCTAGTATGGGTCTTTCCTAATCCTTTTACAGCTAGTTAACTAGTATTCACTTGAAATAAAACAAATGTATTTCGTGAAGTAGTATGGTACTAAAAAGTATGATGCTTGCATCATTCTATAAAAAAATTTTTAGTTTTTGCGGGAGACGTACTTTTTCAATGTTAATTCCGAGAGGTCCGCCCTCACGAATGGCGCAATAGACCATCTCTTGGTTCCGATTCAAGCCACTCACTCCACTGGATCCAATGGAACTCAAGTCGATAGTTGATACACTGGCTGCAGTGCCTCCAGCGCCAATCCTTTGACCTCCTATTGCAACTACAACAAAAATAAAAAGAGAAATAGGATATTGATGCGTCTTTGGTAATTGTCTTTAAGAAAAACACAGTGGCTAAAATGAGAGCCGAATCTGAGAGCCGCCTACCGAATGTGTCATATAGGACTCGCCCTAAAATACAATTACACGTAATTGTCAACAAGTCGTTTTAACTGTCAAATAGGAAAAATTACAGAATACTTTTTATAATTGAGTCTACCTATATTTAGGAGTGAAATTATTAATTAATAATTAATTAGTAATTTAGCAAATTAAAGACCCTCACTGTTCGCATGCAATTAGGTTACTCACGCTGGTTTGATGACGAACCTTTGCTGAGGATTTGTTCTGAACGTTTGTCAACTGTAAGATATGAAAGCTTAGCATGGGTACATTCGAGTGAGTGTTTAAACACTTCATTTATTGAGGACAAGGCTCGGATCTTGATTACCGTAATCATCACCTTCATGTCCTCTTCTTTGTTCACAGATTGCTTGCGCAGATGGCCGAATATCTGTGTATGAGAAAATGAAGGATTACTAGAAGTTGAATACGCAAGATTGCTCTAAGTGGGCTTCCATTAGTTTAGATAATGAAAAGCCTTGTAGCCTCTAAATTAAACGTCCGAAAAATTATGATAGATATTGACGTAATGAAAAGTTCATCCACAAAGATAGCTACGAAAAACTTAAGGAGTGCGTTCTACACTATAACTGAAATCTGATGGTTTCCTGCTTACCTTAACATACATTCCGTCAGAAATCCGTTCAAGTTCTTGATCGTTAACGTCCATTGACTGGCAAATGACGGGTGGTCCAAGGCGATCATCGATTACCAAAGTAACACGCATGGCTGTTGTGTCGTAGGACCTAACGATTCCTACCAGGCACACCTGGATTAAATCAAACGATTCAATCTGAGTGATTTTCGTTAATTAACTAAAAATAGTTAAGTACATAAGTAAAGCAAAAAAAAACCTGAAGTAAACGATTTACGAACCATTTACTGCAACAGGCACATTATAAGGGTGTTCTTTCATAGACACATGCTGCATTTATATGCACGTCGATGGAGTCCAGCCAGCGGCTTCTTGGACCTGACATCGAGATAGGATATCGGCATGCAACATGCGTGTCGTTTCCTTCCGGGTAACATTTTATAGTGCAGAATACAAAGTGTGTCAATACCTATTATGTTCGAAATTATATGCCTAGAAGGGTTTTAATAGATTTAATTAACTTTTCAGATATACTTCACTGAAAAACTAGGATTTACTTACCTTCTCTGCCTGATGATTGTGGAAGGTCCATTTCTCTCCTGACATTCGTTGGATATCGGCGCAGGTTAGCGGCGTGAGATTCTGAGGGCCACGACCCCCGCGCTCGCGCTTCTTTATTTGTTTCAATACGTAAAACAAGAGATCGTCACGTTAGGAACAGAGTTTTGTAGATCTTCTCGAAGTATTTCAGGCCACATGTGGATCATGCTCTTAGCATATCTTTTTCTGTTATTTTTATGACAGAAAAACATTCACGCATTACATTTAAATTGAGTAAGACGTTGTAAAAAAATCGAAGTTGAAGGATTGTGTTACTGCCTGCAAGAACTGAATATGCAAACATACTGAGGCTGGGCCTGTAGACTACCACAAAGATTCTGTCATACGATGGTGGTCACAGAATGCATCTATAGTGATATACTAATGACGGCTTGCACGCTCAAATAAACGAAACTATGCTCAATAGACTTTGATAACTTCTATTTTATATGTCAGGTCCGATATGATATTATTAGGTTCTATCTTGTAGGTTTTCGCTATTCAATCCTCATTGCAATACTATGCCTCTATATAAAAACATTATTACCTTAGATTATTATAATTATTATAATTAGATGAACATTGCTTATGTCCAGGTGACGTTGATCTATATTGTAGTAACTTTTGTCATTGAGACTCCCAAAGACTACCGCAAAATCATGTTATAATTTCCGTCCAGTGCTTTCCAACACGACTAAACTTGAGTACGTCACATGCAGTCTAAGTCACAAGTTCCTACTAAACGGACTTTAATAAGGTATTCCCGCGTATTTAACAAAACAAAAAACAAATTCTGCCATAACAAGCGTCATTGCACACTTCTTGACTAGATAGCACAAATCAGACGAAAAACTCACTCCCTCGTTGATTGACGCGTCTACGTCGAACCCTCCGGCTTCAGCATATACGTCCATTTGCGAATCGTGTCCTCGGTTGTCAACCAAGAAAAATTTAAATATACATATATATAACTTAGCAACCTGAATCCTGTCTCAACCTACAAACGCCGGGGCCTACCTCAGTGGTCAAATTTGTTTGAGCGCGCAATTCGACGGCTTTGCGCCAAACACTACATGCTAATAAATAACCCACAAATGAGCTTCATTTATTATCCACATCACACGTATGCTTGTAGCGTTATAAATTTGCTATTTAATTGTATAGAATAGCCTTAAATTACTGGCGACTTAAACATTTTATGATGCTTTTTGTTGCTATATTTACATTGTATGAATATGAATGAATCGTTCACATGTAGCTGCCTGGTCAGCTAGCTCAATGGCAGCTATTGGTTACATAATTGGGTGAGAGTTTACTGCTCATAGAGGCAATGATAGCTATCTTCCGATAGCCCATCCGTCTTCCTTCTTACGAAAGAGACAGAAAACAACGCGCACCGAGACCGGATCGGGGAGTGAATTCATACGCATAGCAGTGTGACATCCTGAGAATAGTTTGAAAACAATGGAGAGAAGCTAAACACAGTGAAACTCCATACACTTAATAAATTGCCGGGTCTTCCTAGTTTCTCAGCTGTCGAAGAGGCAAGGAGAAAGAAATGAGTGTAGACAATTGTAGCCCAGCTGAAGACGATGCGGCGGCACTCCCCACTAATGCACAAACGATGCTCAGTCCGGGGGCAGCCCGCCAAGTGCCCTGCTACGAAGGAACTGATCGTGAAATATTCTATACAGTCATATACAAAAAGGTGAGACCTAACTGACATTTCTGCATGGTTCTTTGCAAATGCGTAAAGGTAGTAAGATCGCACCGGTCAGCTGATCATCGTGGTGACCAACCAAAGTAGATACTACTACTATTTAATAGGCATTCGATTTCTCATTCGTAAAGGATAATTTTGCTGTGGTGGCCTTTCGATTTTGAGTCTAACGAGCGTAAAATAAGATTTAGATAACGTGATCCGTTTAGATAAGGTTATTAATATTAGACTTGTAGAAGTACACGTACAATGGGGCTATTACCTTGTGAGCGAGGCTTCTCCTACATGTACCCTTTATATTTCGAATTTTGTAAAGTAGGTGTAATAGTTGTATGAGAATATGCATTGAAAAAATAATTGCCTGTTAAAAACAAATTATTCATAAAGTTTTTCGTGGTTACATCAGTAGTTACGGGCCCATGGTACACAGAAACACGGAAAAAATGACAATGTAATGTAGTGTGTTGTGTGTTAGTATCCGTTGACGATTCGCCAAAAATATAGCAGGCTGTTGAAAACGATATTAGGCTACTGTGACTTAGATACATTGGATATACGTTGGATTATATA